AACATGTGATTCCCCACAAATTTTGCGACCCCCTCATGATCAATAATGACTGGTCGTCAATTGGGCCACTTCACTCCTCGTTCTTACGAAAAGTTAGCTTCTCATATCCATAAATTGTGGTGGAAACTGTTGGAGATATTGGGAGGTCATTGCCTTGTATTTTTCAACTCTCTGAGTTCTTGGTTGATCGCCGCCTCATTGTTTTTCTAGAACAGAAGTCCTATTATCTCGAACCTTCGCTTGGGACAAACCAGATGCTCCGAGTTGCTCAATGGCACACATAACGAACTCTTCCAGAATTAATGATGGAGACATTCCCCTCTTGTTCACCATTCAAGATTGGATTAGATGTTTAGCTTTCTTGTAAGAATTAAAGCTCATCGTACTGGTTATCTCTCTCCACCCTCAGCATCTATAGACGTAACATCAATCCTTCTTCCCGTTATAAGAATATTGTGCAATCATCGTGAATCATTATTTATTTATTTGGAAAGCAAACAGAAACTTTGCACTGTCACTTCGAAGTTCTCTTCTGTCAGAAGTTTCTTAACATCCAATCGAAATTAATACTTGCGTTCCTATTCAGGCTATATTTTTTATAACAACCGTTTTGAAATTTCACTATTTGGCATGCTCTTTAAGATTTGGAAAAATCATCCCTCGACCTAGTATTTCGATCAAAATTCTGCAAAAAATTAAAATATATTGGGAAGATATGAGTTAAATTTGAAGAATAGGTGTGCTTTCAAGTGTTTAGTTTAGTTCTTTTTTTCATCGTCTTGTTTCTCGATGCTCAGCGTGTGTTTCTTTCTGCTTTAGGCGATTCTAATAACAATCGTCACATTTACATGTTCAGTTTTGAAATACAAAAACAGTTTACATACGTCTCTAAGCATCTGAAAGGGAACACCTGTCTTTGTTCTTTCTGCTCATGCGCAAACTTAGACAAAAGAGTTTTACTTTTCCAACATAAACTTCTCCACTGCGAAATTCTGATCCGATCTATTTTAACAACTTGAGCAAAGGAACGATGTAAATATTCAGAAAAAACGAAAGAGAATAAATATTACTGAATTAAACAGGCTTTTCGTGTGTCAACTATAAATAATAAATGAGTCTAATCCCCAAGGTATACACACGTCCAGGATAGTGATTCGACTCAACAAATTTGCATTTTCGCGGAGCCTGTCAAATTTTCCATTCGAACTGAGCGACTCTCTCAAGTTCTACCAGAAAGCGCTGTGATACCTCTGTGAATAAGTATTCGTTTCTGTAAAGAATATCGTTATCTTCAACGGACAAACGAGGATCTATTGAAGAATTCTCGTAAAACTATGAGGGTTTTCTGTTGTCCCGCATTTGTGTATGTTGTATCCTTCATTATACTCAGCCATGTTGAAGTAGTGGCAAGTAACAACGCCACTAATGGATCCGGTAAGTATATTTCGCCAGGTATTTTCATAGCATTTCATCCACTGACCATTGCAAAATTTCGTATAATTTTCGCTGGAACGCTAAGCGTCGAAATACGACGAATTAAACGCCGCTTTAAATGGGTATACATTTTTATTATTCGCGAGCAAGAATGTTAATTACAAACCTTGTATTTATCGATAGTGGTTTAAGCAACGATTTCCCACTAAGAAGAGTTTTTCAGGAGGTTTTCTGCGATAAAAATGCATCCAATTTTTGGAAAGAATCTCACTGGATACAATTCTCGAAATGATTTTCAGCTTTGTTCATTAAACGGGTATAACTTATTGCCCAAAGCGCAGCCAATGTTTATTTTCGCTTTGGTGGTACATGACTTTAAGAAAAGTCACCGTTGAATTTTTGCGTTCTTTTAAAACGTTTTGGAAAAGCTCTTCATCTAGGAAATTTGGCATTCGTTTAGGCGCAACACACTCAAAGGCTAACGTGCCATTCTTCAGAATCAGAGAACTTGCACAAATCCGAAATTTTTCTTGCTTTTAATAATTAATATTCGTATGTCTTCTCCGAAGATAGTGAAGACACACGAGATAATGAGAATTTTTTAATATATTTCTATTAAACTTACCAACTTCAGTTCCGTCCGTTTTTTATTTCTCGGTAGTTTAGAATGGTTCTGCAGGTTTGCCGATTAGACTAAAATTTAAAAGACATTCTCAACAATGGTCAAAATTACTTCTTTTCGTTTCTTAAAAGAGAGTCTCGATGCGTTAATGGCTTTTACGGCTAAAGCTTAAAAATTTTGGCCACTTTACAGCTAACGGTTGATGTCTTTAAATTGTGATCACATGAAATATTTTTACGGTTGATTTTTGTACGACTGACGGACCCTCCTACAATTTCAAATACATTTTTGACAAATACATGACAAAATCTGGAAAACAATCAACAAACATGAGGATAACAGTTCTTCAGGAGTAAATAAAGTTCATTTTTTATTTAAGTCTCCCTTTAATAAACGGTAGAAACCGCGAGACTATTTTTAGATACAAAACCGTTTTTGTTAGAAGATAGTCGAAGTAATCCTGAAGATAAATAGGCTTTAGCTTATCTTGCATGATTCAAAACATTATTAACATAAATATGTAAAATGGTGGGGAAGTTTTTCTGCGAAGACATTCACTGGCTTCCTAATTGCGTGGTTGTTAATTACAGGAAGTTGTACGATACTTTAAACCGGAATATTCTACAAGCCCTCACTTATACACAAACGAAAATGATAAGAGTATGTTTCATAGAAAAATCAAGCTTCACAAAAGTTTAAAGGGAATGAAAAGAAAGTTGATTTGTGTTGTATATTCTGGCAATATCCTTATTATGCTTTCCGCTACGAATTGTTAAGATAGCTGAATTTTATTTGGCCTTTTTTTTTTTTTTTTGCCAAGGACAGTCGTTTCAAAATTCACCTGTATGAAAACGGTTTTAAAAAGAACAAAACTGCAACGCACGATTTAGCTAATAAAAGATCTATTGAATGAAAAAGAAAAATGATAATCCAAAGAAATACCACCGACATGTAACAGGGACACAGGGACACAGGGACACAGGGACACAGGGACACCCAAATTAGTTCTCGCGATATAAAATATTGTAGTTTTATGTTTTCAGATATCTATTTGTGTCAATTCACATCGGAAAGAGGACTTTGACACTTAAAATAGAGACATATGTAGGTTTTGATGACACAGAGTAACATGATCTTGAATTGGACTATGTAGAGCAATTGGAATCTTAAAGAACGAGTATGAGAGTGAAATTTGCAACGTTCAATTAACATTGTGTTTAAGATTATAGATCTTATAGTAGGTTATTTCACATTTCCTGTTCTCAGGATTCCTTGCAATTTTCACCTGTCCCTCGCCCCTTTCACAGAGCAATCTTAATTCGTGAAGTTTCAGATCTTCAAACTCTCCAATTTATGTGTTCAACAGTCTAAGATCACGGTGGCCAAATAACACATCTTTCCATGCGGTGCAAATAAAAGAGGAAGAATATTAATCTGGCACGTTTGTTTCTTTTTATGTTGTTTTCTTCATGATCATGGTGATTTACATTTTTTTTCAGTGACGTACGCCCGGTTGCCCAGCAATCATCCCTCTGCATAATCACCTTAGAAAATATACCAGTACTGGAAATGTTTGAACAAAACCTGGAGTTAATGACCTGATTAAATATTCATAAAGAGATTGAATTGGACCAAAAAAGGTTGCAGTTGGGGAAAATCAACAGCTTGAAAAGTTTGCTTCTAATTCTTCAAGACGAAGAAGTTGTGAATATCACTGTCACCTATCGTTTTACAGAGAAGTGATTGGTTATAAATTCTATACAATAACAAATATCTATTTTTATCATTGCAGCACCCCAAGCTACAGGCTGCCAAGAGCAAGTAGATAACAAATGTCCCATGTCATTAAAAATCGACTGGTGGGAGATTCCACCATACATTTACAAAGACTCAAAAAAAGAAGTAACTGGCATCTTTCCAAAAATTCTGGAGAAGCTTGTAAAAGATTGTTGTGATGGCGGCACAGATAAACCATCCTGCGTGAAGCTCAATTTTAGTGAAGTTCCCTCCAATGACTCTGAGGTGGTTAAAAAGCAAATCGATAAGAACGGTACATCTCCATACATCTTTTTACTTACTTTGTTATTATCAGTTTCTCTACTGCTTCAATATTTTTTCCTTCCATCTGTGCTTTCCTACTCTGCTTTTCTTTCTTGATTAAAGGTCAAATTAGTGTTTTAATAACAATCGAGTCGCGAGTTTTTAATTGATTGTCGAAAGTTATTCGGAATTGCTCTGTTTTTGCCCTACTTCACTTTGGGATTGGTCCACAGAACTTGCGCCATTCTTTTAACCAATCAGAAGGGTCGCCCGCGTTTTCCCGCGCTTGAGGAAGTTTGGTTGTTTTTTCTTCCCTTCTCTTTGGCTCTTTAGGGTTTTTTTTTCTTTCTTCTGATTGGCTGTTGTGGTTACTTTGGGTTCGGTTTTACGACACTCAATCGAAAAGCGTTCTTCCTCGAATATTGTGTTCTCTGAGAGGGAAATCTAAGTGTCTATGTTCTTTTTACGAGAAACTCAAAACAAGAAGAATAGAGACTGATCTTAAAATGATTAAATAATCTACCAAGCTTGTAAGTGAAAGAACAAATATTATTCAAAATAACAGGCACACTGATCAGCATGCCCGTATATGGAGACATGAAAGACGTCACTTTTCAAAACCACCCATATTACCCAGTCGTCGAGTCTCCTGGCGTTGTGTTCATCGTCAAAAAGGAAGATTCATCCAATGCTGCTCAGGCTGTCATGGAGGCTGTGTTCCAGGGATGGCCTGTCCTCCTCCTCACGCTGATCATGGCCGCACTGTCTGGCATAGTAGTTTGGGCACTGGTTAGTACACGAGGCTTTCTTTCTCAACTCTGAGTATCAATTCTCAGCACTGTGTGTCACGTATTTCCTATAGTTTTGGCTCAGAAAATATGATGTTTGATCAAAAAATAACCAAGAGGTCATATTTTATTTTCTCAAATCATTTTCCAAAATGTATCGATATGTGAGGAGAAATTCTCTAATGGTTGCTCTCAGGAGTGACAGCTCCGTAATTGAGGATTACGTTTAACCAAATAAAATAATTCTTATAATATCATTATCATTATTTGAGTCTCGTGAATAACATAACAAAAATACATAATTTTTTTCGACAACATCACATTATCTGACAATAATAGAATACTCACAGCAGTACATTGCAGTACATTATAATACTTCTTTACTGACACGACGCTATTGCTAACAGTGTTACATTCTTAACAGGTAATTTTAATTTACATTAAATATAAAACTGCAATGGTCATGGAATTTATCACACGAACTTTCCTAAGAAGCACTCCAAGCTTCCAAGTAATTATTATTAATTCGTTTTTGGAGACATATTTGTCCCATTTCCCCGACACACGGGTGGCTCGAAACCTTAACCCTCATTTAATCTCTATTTTTCAACAAATTCCTCATCAAGGTGTTTTCTTCTTCTTTTAGGACACTTACTGGAATCCTGAAGAATTCCCGCGCTCGTTCTTCAAAGGAACATGGGAAGGTTTTTGGTGGGCATTTGTATCCATGACAACTGTTGGGTGAGAACGTTGTTCATTGCTTTAGCGTATATTTTTAACTTAATGGTCGTGTATAGTGAAAAGTTATTATTTATCGTCGAGGGGGGAGACCTTATTGTGGCATAGCCTAAATCCCCCAACCACCCCTCCCCCTCCGGTCCCCAGCAATAAATGAGGAGTGGTGCTTAAGTAGATTCTGATAAGAGCAACGTTAAATTGATAGAGTGGCATTCCACACTGCCACAGAGCTTTCTGAGTAAATGTCATTTTAGAAAAAATCCTATAAAAGCCAATCTGAACGAAAATGCAAGCCAGCAGCCACAAGTGCAGCGGAAAGGAAGTGAACATGCGGCCGTTGATTTTGGTTCTGCGTCTCATTGTTAAAGGGACTGGCACGAGTATTCAAGCGAAATTATAATTCTACAACCGTAGCAAAGCTTTGCGGTTACAACTATGATCCATAACTCAACCGCAGAAAAAAACTGTGGATCAAAACTTTGTTCAGCTTCAACAACAAAGTAATTGAGATCAAAGGAATAAAAAATTGAAAACTAGGGGTTAAATCACGCCTCTGTTTACCTTTCAGGTACGGTGACCGCGCGCCACGATCAGTGCTGGCTCGTACGTTTGCTTTCATCTGGGTTCTCATTGGGCTCGTGATCATATCAATCTTTACCGCTACAGTCACAACGTCGCTCACCGCCATATCGCTTAGCAACGAAATCAAACTGTACGGATCTGACGTAAGTAAAATAGCTCCAATTGAGAATGGAAATATTTGAAAGGAAATCGTCAAATTTTGACCAGTTTGATACACGTACGTAACACTTACAACCACCTCCGTAGTAAACGGTGGCACAATGGCGCACAGCCAATCAGAGTAGAGTATTTTGTACCATATGGTGCTAATGCACCAATCATATGGATTTTCCTCCAAGATGGCCTCCATAACTTGCAATACTACTTGAAAGACCTGCTCAGTTGCTTTCGTTGAAAAGGTCAAAAATTAGGGTTTTATCCGCTGACTTATCTACCTACTTACGCAGCAAAATGTGCTCTGTTCACCGGCGAAATTTCTATTAGGTTGTCGCTTTGAAGAACACAGAGGAGCAAAGGCTTGGTGTACGAAACAATGCTAAAGTTACAGGTTGGTGACAAGATTTCTCGTGTAATAAATTCACTGTGTTCGTTAACAAAGTAAGACACTTGCATCTAAAATCGCACCTGCCAGTCCAGAGGCAACTCTGCAGATCCATTTTTTTCCAGGTTGATGTCATCCTCATTCTATCCTTTTAGAGTGGCCGTCACATATCGTGTTCATTCGCAGAAATGTTGTGACAGCGATTAATCAGAAGTGCAGTTAAAGTATTTAACAATGGAGCTTTACATATGTATTCTGACATTTCAGAACTAAACAGCGTCAGTGAACTCAAAGATACTGTTATAAACCAGGAACCAAAAGTTACTGGAGCGCTGCTAGATAGTTATGTCGCAGGCTACTGGGCTAAGGTAGCAGAAGACCCTGTTTTAAAGAACCCGGATCTCCGCGTGGGGACTGTGCTCGATCATCAGTTCGCTTATGGCTTCGTTATCGCTGGTGCTTTGAAAAAGGCAGAAAAATGTATGAGGAAGAAGCTTAACAGCATGGAAACCGAAATAACGGGAATCATCCAAGAGCAGGCAAAAACTATGGAGGTAAATGTTTCACGCCTTTTAACTTGAAATCTTTTACATTTGGTTTTTCCATACTTCTTTGACAGTCAGAAGTTTGGGGAAGAAGTGCATATGAGGGTTAGTGTGTTGGACTCCAGTATAAATAATTGGCTTGGTTACCTGGTTGTTGTTCTGGTAGGAGGCAGAGTTTCGTACCTTCGGGTAAAAAGCATAACTCATAAAGCGCCTCTTGCCGCCCAGGGGTTAGTTTCCAAACTGATGTGGTGGAAGTGGGGCAACCATTCAACGGGCTAAACATCAGTTTAAGTGAAATGCACAACACTTTAAGCTGTCAGTACTTCATCCTACAGACACAAAGACAAGATCAGGTGGTGTGGGGCAATAGGTTCCTTCGCCGCCTTGGTATGTTTGTTGCCTACTGATAAATACTTCTTTTGCCAATAGCTTAGCTATTAGGAGGGAAGTTGTTACTCACGAGCTGAAAAACAATTTGTGAACTCGGGAAGAACCACAACTCAAAGAATAAAAATAGATTTGCTCATGAGCACATCACGTGATGATGGCCCTGTTCCTTGCTCTCCCAGCTTAGCGTTGAGTATATACTCAGGATAATCAACGCTTGATGTAAAAAATGTGCATGAAATTTGAATTGTTTTTTTTACCAAAAACTAAAAACTTTCAGGAACCAGGGGAGAGCGCAGCCGTGGAGAAAACAAACAATCTATTTGATGCCAAATCGCCAATGTTCAGGAAAGCCATCTACACTTGTATCGGACTGGTAGGTGCGCTGACCATATGCGGGCTCATTTGGGAGTTCCTATATTGGCGACCACGTCAGCCTAAAGAAGCAAAGACAGGTAAGAAGCTTTGATTCAATAATACACTCTCACGCATGGGGAGTTATTATTCTTGGCTTGAAATCTCGCAAAGCAATATTACAGTGCAGCAGAAGGCATCTCAATCAATACTTACTCATGGAGTCGGACTGCTGTCGCAGTGATACTGATTTTAGTTTCCTATGGTGGCTAATTCTTTTGCTTTTTTCTCATTTTATTTCAGAGGTTGAACGGATCGTGACACCAGAAACCTCTTACGAAAACCTAGTGGCCATGCAGTGTGCAGAAATTGAGGAGGCCATGATGAATGAGGTTCAACGATTTTACATCGCTTGGAACAAGAAACTGGAAGAACTGAAGCGGCGCAACGGACAGAGTCCAGGTGACATGAATGTCATTGGTATGGGGGTGAGTGGAGGCGACATGAGAAGCATGTGATGAGAGCTGTGCGGGAACGACACGGTCAGCATTAGCGAAGCATTTATTGACAACACTTTTCATAGGCTACTGTTAGGAACTATTAATGGCCAGAGCATGCGTAGATCTGACGAACTTACGAGATGAGCATCGAAACCCGAATCTGAAGGACACTGTAGTTAACTGCATTGAGGTTTTCTCCGCTACAAACAACCGAGTAGAAGAATGTAGAACCTGTATTAAACGAGTGACATAAATGCAAACGACGTTTGCCTCTGGACTTACATCGCACCTTTAAACCAAACTAAGGAGTGTAAGCGTCTTTATCCCAAGTCTCTCGTCATTGTCAATACTTAAGCTAATGCTGGACTTTTTAACAGGCCAGGAGCCTGTTACGTTCCCTACATTGTAAATAGTGTTCCATTATCACATTTGCAGCCATTTTCTGCGTTACGTAAAAAACTGCCAACTTTTATCTCATAATTTTGCTGAAACCTTTCGTATTTTGCAAATGACCCGCCAATCTCGTCAGCATGATAGCGATTACGAGGCCGTAGGTCAAAGGTAAACTAATCTCTATTAGCAGAGCTCTAAATACCAGTGCTTTTAAAAATATTACATAAAACATTTTCATAAGTTTTTGAGCTTAGATGAAACACTAAATTTTTTAGATTCGTAAAAAGGTTATCACCATCATTTAGTCATTGTTAAAACAGTCTATATAGCGTTGGCAGATAAGGAATGGAGGGTAGAACCCCTATCTCTCTTCCTGAGTTTATATTGTGCCGGTGGAGACCCCCCCTCCTTGTCTTTGATCTCCACCACCTGAATTACCTGAATTTCTGGATGTGCCAAAGCTATGGATATAACCATGAAGATTATTAACATAGGAAAGTATTTATGATTTAAGCAGATGACAATGGACATTGGATAGGGCCACTGATGAAGGAGCCTTTCGGGAAGACGTGAATGTGTGCTTTCCTGAAAAAAAACCGGCCTTCATATTTAGTACACACTCGTTGACGTTTCACGTAAAAAAGTTGGAAGAAGTCTTTCGTAATGTGATTAGAGCAAGTCTCTAATTCTCTAACCCTTTTTAAACACCTTGGAAACAAAATAGGTGAAAGTGTCATATGCTAGATCAATCATACAAAATTCACATTGCACATGGTAGTTTACGTAGAATATGCAAATAAAAAGGTTAAGAATACCATAATATGAGTCACGTGTTTTCATTACTTTACAGATTTTTCACTTGCAAATGTTGAAACAATAAAAAACTTCTAATTCTGGAACACCTTTTAGCTTGTTAAAAAGAGCGTGTTAAGCTGTGTATTTTGTGCAAATGTCAAAGTTTCAGATCTTTTGTGGGCCCAGGAGATCTCCTCTGAATATTGAAACAATAGAGTTTTGTTAATGAGTTTGAAACGCTAGTTTTAGCTAATAGTTCTTACAAGATGCCAAAAGCTCATTAACCAATTTTATTGTTTCAATATTCATACGTTTCTATCCTTGTGAAAAGTGTGAATTCTAGACCACTCTTTAGCTTGTTAGTAAGCGCGTGGTAAGCTGTGTATTTTGCGCAAATGTCAAAGTCTCAGCTCTTTTGTGGGCTAAGAAAATCCTCTCTGAATATTGAAACAATAGAGTTTTGTCAATGAGTTTGAAACGCTAGTTTTAGTTAATGGTTCCTACAAGATACCAAAGGCTCATTAACCAATTTCTATTGTTTCAATATTCATGCGTTTCTATCTTTGTGAAAAGGGGGAATTCTGAAACAATTTATGGTGCGTTAGAAAGAGAGTGGTAAGCTGTGTATTGTGCGCAAGTGTCAAAGTTTCAGCTCTCTTGTGAGTTAAGAAAATTCCTCTCTGAATATTGAAACAATATAATTTTGTTAATGAGCTTGAAACGCTAGTTTTAGCTAGAGGGTCTTACAAGATGCCGAAAGCTCATAAACAAAATTCTATTGTTACAATATTCATGCGCTTATATCTTTGTGAAAAGGGGAATTCTGAATCACATTTTAGCTTGTTCGAAGAAGCCTGGTAAGCTGTGTATTGTGCACAAATGTCAAAGTTTCAGGTCTTTTGTGGGCCAAGAAAATCCCCTCTGAATATTGAAACAATAGAGTTTTGTTAATGAGTTTGAAACGCTAGTTTTAGCTTTTATTTCTTACAAGATGCCAAAGGCTCATTAACCAACATCTATTGTGTTGATATTCATGCGTTTATATCTTTGTAAAAAGGGGGAATTCTGAAACAATTTATGGTGTGTTAGAAAGAGCGTGATAAGCTGTGTATTGTGCACAAATGTCAAAGTCTCAGCTCTTTTGTGGGCGAAGAAAATCCTCTCTGAATATTGAAACAATAGAGTTTTGTTAATGAGTTCGAAACGCTAGTTTTAGCTTGTGTTTCTTACATGATGCCAAAGGCTCATTTACCAATTTCTATTGTGTTGATATTCATGTGTTTATATTTTTGTAAAAGGGGGAAATTCTGAAACAATTTATGGTGCGTCAGAAAAAGCGTGGTAAGCTGTGTATTGTGCGCAAATGTCAAAGTCTCAGCTCTTTTGTGGGCCAAGAAAATCCCCTCTGAATATTGAAACAATAGAATTTTGTTAATGAGTTTGAAACGCTAGTTTTAGCTGGTGGTTCTTACAAGATGCCAAAGGTTCACCAACCAATCTCCATTGTTTCAATATTCATGCGTTTATATCTTTGTGAAAAGAGGGGAATTCTGAAACACTTCATAGCTTGTTAGAAAAAGCGAGGTAAGCTGTGTATTGTGCGTAACTATCAAAGTTTCAACTCTTTTGTGGGCCCAGAAAATCCCCTCTGAATATTGAAACAATAGAGTTTTGTTAATGAGTTTGAAACGCTAGCTAGTGGCTCGTACAAGATGACAATAGCTCATTAACCAATTTCTATTGTTTTAATAGTCATGCATTTATATCTTTGTAAAAAGGGGGAATTCTGAATCACATTTTAGCTTGTTTGAAGGAGCCTGGTAAGCTGTGTATTGTGTGCAAATGTCAAACTCTCAGCTCGTTTGTGGGCTAAGAAAATCCCCTCTGAATATTGAAACAATAGAATTTTGTTAATGAGTTTGAAACGCTAGTTTTAGCTACTGGTTCTTACAAGATGCCATAGAGTCATTAACAAATTTCTATTGTTTCAATATTCATGCGTTTATATCTTTGTGAAAAAGGGGAATTCTGAATCACATTTGAGCTTGTAAGAAAGAGCGTGGTAAACTGTGCATTGTGCGTGAGTGTTAAAGTATCAGCTCTTCTGTTGGCCAAGAAAATCCCCTCTGAATATTGAAACAATAGAGTTTTGTTAATAAGTTTGAAAAGCTACTTTTAGCTAGTGGTTCTGACAAGATGCCAAAGGCTCATTTACGGATTTCAATTGTTTCAATATTCATGTGTTTCTATCTTTGTGAAAAGGGGAATTCTGAATCACATTTTAGCTTGTTAGAAAGAGTGTGGTAAGCTGTATATTGTGCGTGAGTGTTAAAGTTTCAGCTCTTTTGTGGGCGAAGAAAATCCCCTCTGAATATTGAAACAATAGAGTTTTGTTAATGAGTTTGAAACGCTAGTTTTAGCTAGTGGTTCTTACAAGATGCCAAAGGCTCATTAACCAATTTGTATTGTCTCAATATTCATGCGTTTCTATCTTTGTAAAAAGGGAGAAATTTTGGAACAATTTATGGTTAGTTCGAAAGAGTGTGGTAAGCTGTGTATTGTGCGCAAGTGTCAAAGTTTCGGCTCTTTTGTGGGTTAATAAATTCCTCTCTGAATATTGAAACAATAGAATTTTGTTAATGAGTTTGAAACGCTAGTTCTAGTTCGAGGTTCTTACAAGATGCCAAAAGCTCATTAACGATATTCTATTGTTACAATATTCATGCGTTTATATCTTTGTGAAATGGGGGAATTCTGAAATAATTTATGGTGCGTTAGAAAGAGCGTGGTAAGCTGTGTATTGTGCGCAAATGTCAAAGTTTCAGCTCTTTTGTGGGCCAAGAAAATCCCCTCTGAATATTAAGACAATAGAATTTTGTTAATGAGTTTGAAACGCTGGTTTTAGCTAGAGGTTCTTACAAATTGCCAAAAGCTCATTCGTGTTTCAATATTTATGTGTTTATTTCTTAGTGAGAAGGGGGAGTTCTGGAACACTTCTTAGCTTGCTAGAAAGAGCGTGGTAGGCTGCGTATGGTGCGCAAGTGTCAAAGTTTCATCTCTTTTGTGGGCCAAGAAAAATCACCTCTGAATATTGGAACAATAGAATTTTGTTAACGAGTTTTAAAGGCAAGTTTTAGCAAGTTGTTCCTACAAGATGTCAAAAGCTCATTAACCAATTTCTATTCTTTGAATATTCATGCATTTATATCTTTGTGAAAAGGAAGAAATCGGGAACAATTTATAATGCGTTGTAAAGAGTGTGATAAGCTGTATGTTGTGTGCAAATGTCAAAGTTTCAGCTCTTTTTTGGGCCTAGAAAATGCTCTCCGAATATTGAAACAATAGAATTTAATTAATGAGTTTGAAAAGCTAGTTTTAGCTTATGGTTCTTACAAGATGCCAAAGGCCTATTAACCAATTTCTATTGTGTTGATATTCATATGTTTATATCTTTGTGAAAAGGGAGAATTCTGGAACACTTTATAGTGCGTTAGAAAGAGCGTGGTAAGCTGTGTGTTGTGTGCAAATGTCAGTTTCAGCTCTCTGTGAAAAGGGGGAATTCTTAGACAATTTAACAATAGCGCGTTAGAAAGGGCGTGATTAGGTCTGTGATTATGTGTAAGTGTCGCAATTTTAGACTGAGAAATTATCCTCTGAATATTCAAACTATAAAATGCTTTGGTTGAATTTAATAACTATGTTTAACTACTGGTCCCCTGAAGTTTTCAAAAGCTTACTAACAAATTTCTATAGTTAATATATTGACGTTTTTATCTCTCAGAAAATTGAGAATAAAGGACATTAGAACAAAAGATTTTCTTACGTCTCTTTATTTCTTTTCCAGAAACTGTGTACAAGATGGCCTTATGCATAGAAATTTTACAAAATGAGCCCCTCTTTGGCGGCTGCAAATCTGCGTATCTTCCTTAGAGATTGTCAAGCTTTATTTTCATTCATCTATCATGCATGATTATTGAAGCTTAATGCTTCCTTAATTCAATTCAATTCATCATCACGACCATAAAACTCTCAAGGATTATTAAAAAGGTCTTGGTATCCGACAGATTCTCCCGCTCGGTTTTTCAGCAAATGAAAGCAAGAGAGAAAGATGTCTTGATACAAAGTTACCTTAAATTGGCAGCGCGGATGAAAGATAAAGTTACACATATTGTTTAAGCACAACAGAAATTGACTCTGAAGCTAAGATAAAAAGAGTTTTCCCGGGAAAACAAGCGCTAGACCAAACTTAAAATCTCCTTTCCAGCTGTGATCGTTTCGTTGTAAGTTAGTTGGGAGATTTTGCTGTTATGTTGTTCTACTCTCGTTATCTGTTAACTAAATAGAAGAGAGGAGAATACCTTTAAGAGCCAATGACAACTCAAAATGAAAACCCAGCCAAACGGCTTAGAGCGCGGGAAAACGCCGATGACCAACTCGTGACTGGTTTCAGTTTTTGCGAGTTTTCTGACCCAATCACAGAGCGAAGTAAAGCAAAACCAATCCAACCTCAGATAATTTTCGACACTGAATTAAAAATTGCTCTACGAACTTACACGTGAATCATTCTTACGATTTTATGGGATGAAAGCCACAAATACCTTCAGTATAACTGGACGAGCTATCCACAAACTACTGACAAACAATTGAAACAATGAAAATTGTAAGACCCCGTATTCCAAAATGTAACGATTCATAACTTTTGTTACAAAATAAGCTGAAAATCGCATAAGTGAAAAGGAAAATGGAAGTATAAAATATTTGAAATCCAAAGTTATAAATAGGATACTTGTTGTATTTAACAAACGATATATAAATGGTAAAAATAAAGACCAAATGTATATATATTATAATGCTGTATCGGTTAAGGTAACAAGTATAGAAGTCATTTTGGGAAAAATCGATCAAGTTCAAAGGCCCGAGAAAAACTATGAAATTATCCAGACAGTGACGCCATCAGCTGACGATAAAAGTATTATTTGATCAATGAATGGCTTTTCCACCGAATAAATCTGTTAATGGCTAAATGTTTCTATCCCTCCAGATCATTTTCGAATTACTTCCCGACAAAAATTTAAAAATGCACGCGACCTTAACTTATGTTCAATTTACTTTACTAACGTATTAAATTCCCCTAACAAGTCCAAAAGGAACCCATCTTTCCTGAAAATATTTATACTTTCCTAGGATACCGTGCTCGAAAACCTTAAAGAAGTGTCGATAAAAATTCCCCCAAGGCTTCATCACAAGTAATCGATGGTGTACTGTAAGGAGAAAAGAAGTTTTCAACTCAAGTGTAAACGAAATAATAAACAAACAGTTGCTCCAAACATTTCAGCAAGGCAAAAGAGCCTTCATTCCTTACTTACATGTGCTGAGGTTTATTTCCCTCGTAGACTTCGAAACTTAAAACCTGCCACAACCGCTGTCAATTCAAGACGTGATTTGATAGTCAGGATAAATGTAAACCTGCTAAGGACCGCTTTTGGTGAAAGTGACTATCAATAGATTTCTCGTTATCAGACAAAGAACTCAATCACAACATCACCATAACTAGCGAACCAAAAAAAAAGGACTGACTAATCACATTTCATGAGCCAGACTGGCAAACAACTCTTAAGTTCACGATGTCCAAACGTTCACTTTCACCAACAATAATCCTGTCTTGGAATACTCTCACCCAGGTTTTACGTACCCACGTCAAACCGTTCAGTATAACTATAATTATTTAACATAGCGACAAAAGAAAAAATGGTGCAATTCAACCAGAGGTCAAAAAAGGTATCTGTAGTATAAAACATACATAGGATTATATTAACCAACAGAAAAAGGCTATCGTGAAGGATAAAGATCCATAAATAAAGAGCGAAGAAAGCATTGCTATTAAGGACCAGTCATTTTTTATCGCCTTGAACGGAAGGTCGAAGGATTTTTTTCTTTCTTTCTTTCTTTTTTTTTTTTTTTTTTTTTTTTTTTTTGGGCGGGGAAGGGGGGAGGAGGAGGGGAGTATAAAGGCGGGACTACAAAACCATAGCCAGATATGGTAAATTTTATGACTAAACCAAAACCCGCGACTCATTCTCTTCCAGCAAGGCAATAAAGAATGACAGGTCTCTATGATGATGCAGACGGCGGTCGTTTAAAATTGGACACCTGGGTCGAAAACCAACCAATGAAAATATTTGACAATTTGTTACATATACTACTTGCCTTAATATATCAAACGCTATGAAAATACAACATCTTTCAAGCTATTTTACCAGTTCAATCTTAGATATGTAAAGAATAGCACCTTTCTCTTAATAAACGTTACTTGTTCAATAATACTTTAAAAGGCTTAACTCTATGAACGATGTAAGAAACGTTTTAAAATAGAAACTTATCCAACGAACAATTCATGGTGTCTGTATCACGTGTTACTTGGTTCAACTGACGTGAAAAACCACTCGGAAAATTTCCGAAGTTGGTGCGAGGCGGTCCGGAGATCATCTTGAAGTCTTTTGTTTTCTCTCTGAAGTCTTCTTAATTCAACATCCATTCGGTGTCTCTCTTCTCCTTCCTGTGAAAAAGGACACGAATACTTGTAAATAAGACTCACACGAACGAACATGTTATTGTCAGCTGTTCTGGTTTGTCTCTGGACTCCTTTTCACAAGGAGGGGGGGGGGCATATTTTCTCCTGAAGGAGAGAAGGGGGCCTTCCTCCACCAGAAAATTTAAAGATGTAGAGGCACGGAAATGTTATTATTAACATTATCCATGGGATAATTTCTGTCGAAAAGTTTATGACAGGTTTCTTATGAGGTTGTAGTTTTTTTAATCTTTTCTTATTTTTTTTTTATTTGTCTCTTAAT